AATACCAGAGCCAAGGTATATTCTTTATCCAGTGGAATAAGTAACAATATTATAAATACAAATTAGATAATGGTCCAAATAAATATTTAATAGGAAATTGCATTTAATTTGGAGGGGGGTTTTTAAGCAAGATAACTTGCAGTTTCATCCATGGTGGGGGTGGGGACCCTTATTGGATTACAGACACGAATTAATCGATTCTCTTTGTTTCTGATACTGGAGGTAGCTACAAATTTGACTTTACATATCTCAGTATACTGCAGTATCTGTTCTTTAGGCAGTGCTTGTGAAGCAATAGAACACAATTTTTCATATAAATGTCAAACTGATGGGCTTGGAACTTTTAAATTAAACTTAAAAAGTCTAAGTGACAAAGGAAGCCATATAAAGTAGTTCCATTTTAACTATGGAAATTTGGGAGGGTGGTCAGTTACAACAGTCATGTTGGAGCTCTGTTTTGAGTTTAAAAGTAACATTGTTAGATTTTTATAGTGATTTGAAATAGGATTGTTTTGTAAGCCTTTTTTGCAGGAACCATTTTTTTGTTTATCAGAGGAATATATTTTAGTGATGTAAAAAAACCACAAAATTTTACAAAATTTTAAATCCTTGTTGTTTGCTATTTTTATATCATGCTTTAGCTATCCAGTTAGCAAGCTGAGTCTAACTAAATAGTAGTAACAATCCCTTTTGCCTTCAAAACCCATGGCTATATTTACAGCACTTAAAGTACTTTATGGGGCGTATCTAATAAGGGATACAATGACAATTACATGCTATAACTTTCTCAATTACCAAGACAAACTGTGAAATCTATATGCTAATAATTAAAGTTGGGGAGGGGATGGTTTGTTTCTAACACTTAAGGTCTACAGGAATGAAGAAAGGAAGTGAAAATACTAAGAAATCAGCAGAAGAATGATTGAAATGGTAGCCTACATAATTGTTCAACTTCCTAGTCAAATAATGACAAATGGTGCATATATGGCCACATGAAAAATTATACAGTGCACTAAAATATTAACCTTGCTATGTCATCTGGGCTTTCTTTGTTCTGTTTATTTTTTATATAAAGCTTTATGAAAGTCTTTAATTGAGTAATCAATCTTAGGCTATTTTTTCCTTTAAGAACTTTCTACATTCATATAACATGGATCTGCTCTGGAAATGAATCAAGGTTACGTTGCTAGAGGCTATTGTCTCTTACACCTTGGTGTCATTTCTTGCAGGCAGTGAAGCAAGCAGGGAACTTTATGAAGAGAAGAATGGTCTTGGGATATAAGCAGTTGAATATTGCACTGGAGAAATGCATTCTACGATTGCTTGTGCGGTAGAAATGTTTGTGCGATTCTATGCAATTTGCGTTACTTGGCCTTTCCATGGTGTTCATCATTCTAAGAACCCAACACGTGTTTTGTAGTTTTCAGAAGTGTGAAAGAATTTTAAAAAATAGATAACTGAAGTAGTTTGAAGTGGTGGTCTGAATAAATGGGGCCTTTTCAGGGCAGGGGGAAGGCTATAGATCTATCAAATTGACCTTCTGAAATTAATTGATAATTTTATAACATTAGTTTCTCTGTAGTTCCATTCCTCATCTACGGAAGGAGACTATTAGTGTTGTCTTACCTGCATAGGGAAGCTACAACTAGAAAATAATTCTTGTGAAATTCTCTGATGCTATGAGATAAGAGGAGCTGGAAAGAAATGAGTTTTATACCCAGTGAAAGTATGCAGCCATCAAATGCTTTCTTATGACAAATCAGCGCACAAAAATGCAACTGAATATCTGACAGATATTAAAACATAATGATAGTTATATATTGAGTAGTAGCTCTTCAATGAATGTCTTTTATATGCATGGAATGAGGTAGAGTTCTTTGCTAAAAGCAAAAGAGAAAGTATGTGATTTTACTCCACTGACAGAAAGAAGACAGATTAAAGTTAAATGTGCAACAAAAATCATTTTGAAATGTCTTACCTTCTGAGTTCTTAAGCTTGCAACATTAGTGTTCTTTTGATGTATAGTTATAGCATGACCCTTTAGATTTAAAAAAAGAATAAATAATATATAATAAATATAAGAAATTCCAGCATGTCCAGCTATGCTTTGTCAGCAGAGTTTACTCATGTCAAATTTTACTAGTGAGTTTAATACTGATATTTCTGATCGCAGAATAACTTTGAAAAAACAGGAATTCTGAGTTCAGTTTTGGAGTATTCTAGTGACCTCTTTTCAGCTCCTCTTTATCACGGTGTCTTCTAGCCTACATCGGCTAATAATCTCCACTCTCAATGCTTAATCTTCTCTGTTTCATAGTTCTTTTCTTTATTTACCTTTTTCATATGTTTGAGTGCCAGCAGGGACTGGAATTTAATGCTACAGGATAAACAGTTTAGTACCACAAAATTCAGCAGCCTGGAGCATTTGACTGGATCAAACTATGTAACTGCTGCAGTTGCACACCCATCTTCTCTTCAACAACCTTGAATAACATAGTTAGCATTTTTATAATATCTTTTTTTTTTATCTGCTTACCAGAACACTGACACTGAAAACATTCTATTGGTGTTTGGTTCAGAAACTTTGGGGCACAGTAATATAATGTATGAGAATCTATACAATTTATTTGAACCACACAGTTGTAGCTAAGTCATTTGTGCCAAAACATTTTCCGGATTAAGACTGTGTAAACACGTACACACACTTTCTCTGGGTGATTTAATTTAGTTGGAAATGGTGAATGTTGAGTTTTCAACAAAAGCAAAGCCTGATCAAGACTCATCTCAAGGGATAGCGCAGAATTGTAGTTGAGACAGAGAAGCAAATTTTCACTATTTCATACTTAAACTTTACGTGTTACATTAGAATTATTTAGTGTATGTTCTTTATAGATGTTAATTTAGTAAGCACTGCCTATCAGACAAATAATGGAGATGGTATGTGAGAATATAAAATATCTGCAATGATAATCAGTGCAGACTTAAAGTGGGTGTGAAGCTTCTATTAACTAATTTCTGAAAGAGTAACCCTTAATTCAGGTCCAGCCTGAGTCTACAGCAAGACTCCTACTGGCAGACTGATCTTTTGGGGAACACTGTCACTACTTTGACCTGAGTTTACACTTTCTGGGAATACTGTTTAGTATTTAAGGGCACTGTAAGCTTCAAGCAGAGGTTGTAAGCCAGACTGTTTCTGATTTGTCTCTTCTTTCTGCCACCTCGTTTCTCTTCCAAGCATAGAGACCCCCAGGAAGAGAGACATTAGAAAGTGCGGTTTGAAAACAAATAGAAAAATATTTAGATGCCACTTAATCATTTGCATTGCCATGTGTATGCTCTGTCATTCAGTGGGGATGAGGCAGAATTCTACAGGGAAGTTCTCAACACCAGTAAGAAACACTTAGTTTGCTGCAAAGCAGCAAACATGTTTTGTAATTTTGGATATGTAATTTTTTACAATAAGCATTTATTTATATTTATGAAATTTAAACAAACTAAAGCTATTGTAGAACAACTTGGTTTTTGCTGCTTTCTGAATGCTTTGCTTCTACTGGTCTTCATTATGTAAAATTCAAGCTGCAGATTAATTTATAAAAGCTTAATATTTTCTCCTTTTTGAAAGGCAAGGAGAGAGTTAAAAAATTTTTGAACACATGAGAGCAAATCCTTTATTTTGAAACGTTTCCTACCTGGTCAGCATGATAGTTTTGAAGCATTCGAAGGGTGGTACAATACTGTATGAACACCTTTAGGCACCCAGAAGAAAAATATGCATATACTTCTGACTGCAGAATGCAAGATTTCTTTTTCTGTTCCCTCCAGTGACACTGATCAGCGTTTTTATTTGTCCCGCAGGGGTTGTTCAGAACTTTGTCGTATACCCATGGTGGAATACAAACTTGACAGTGAAGGCACCCCATGTGAGTATAAAACCCCTTTCAGAAGGAATACCACTTGGCATCGGGTGCCGACTCCCGCTGGGCAGCCTCTCTCTCGTGCCTCTCCAATCCTAGGAACATCTGACAGACTGCAGTGCCAGCAGCTTCTCCAGCAGGCTCAGACAGCCATTCCTCGCAGCACTTCCTTTGATAGAAAACTGCCAGATGGTGCAAGGTAACATACTCTCCCTTTAATGCCTGTCATTTTCCTAATGTGCCTTACTTTAGATAGCTCTGCTCTCCAGACCTTTGGTATACTTATTTTTTAAACCTTATTTTATTGAATTTTGACAGTAATTTTAATTCTGAGGGTGCACTGCTCCCAGTTCCCTCTAGTTGAAATGAGTGACTTCTATTGTTTGTGATGGAAGTGGACGGTACTGAGGATTCCTACCACTGTGGACAGCTAACCTTTCCCTTTAGTCCCAAATCAGTAAAGTGGGAAACTGCCTTCTGAGTTTTTGATCTAAACAATGCCCTGTCCCTCACCTTTTGGGTGACTATTTAAACAAATAATGAGCATAAATAAAATTAACTAATCCCTTTTAAAATGAGTTATTTAATCTCATTACCAAGCTATTGGCATAGTTTCAAAGGGTTCTGTAACTCCTTACCAGTCCTTATGCTTTGCTTTGCTTTTAATTAAACAAAGCAGCGCTTGTGATTTGAATATGTAACACCTCTTAGATGATGGGATGGTATCCTTAAATGTTAGCTCTGTTCTAATTTAATCATAATTCTTCATAAGATAAAAATTTATTTTTAAAGTTAAAGATTTGTAAATACACTTGACCCTTGAATTATTTAGGAGAACTCTATGTCTTGAGCCGATCTCTCTGTCCTTTATTGTCTGCAATTATTTCTGCTTATGCCCTTTTTCCATGGGGTGATGTAGTTCTAATTTCCAAGGAAAAAAATACTGCATGTTGAAAATGTCTAATTGATATGAAAATCCAAAATACCGGTCTTAAAAAAAAATTTTGGATGAAATCATGAAATACTGTGATTGCTACACTATCTATCTTACTAGTAGAAAAGAATTAGTGATTTTTTACATTTTTTGAAATATATACAGGTAATAGTAGTACATAGTTGAAAATATGTCTATGTCATGGTCTGGGGAAGGCAGACTCCCAGTTATGACCGTTTGATCATTTGTATTCTCTTTCTCCCCTACCCACCTCCTCACCCCCTGTAAAAAGGAGAGGTGCATTTCGTAAGCATGTATATAACTTTATAGGATTTAAGCTTTTCCTAATGTCTTGTTACTGAAATTCTTAGTAATATCTATCATAAAGGGACAATGTCTCAAATGTCTAGAAATAGTTCAGGATTTATGGAGCTTTATAAAGTATACTGTATGCCTATACAGAGGAAAAAATGAAAGCTTTCTGACATAGACATTTCCAAAAAACTTCGCAAACATAAGTTGCACTTCTCCTAACACTCAGTGAAGCATGTGAAAAAATGCTAAGGCAGAGGCTATCTCTTGTCATGAAAAAATTCCTGTGTCCCTTAAACAAAAGAAGTGCAATGCAGAAGTGCTGTTCTGGGGAAGACATGGTACAGAGTATAAATAATGAAAAGAGAGGAAAAATGATGAACTGTGACATGTGGGTCTTGAAACATGAAAAGAAAGGTACCTAATTGGCAAGGTCTTTCCACATGGGAAGAGGCATAGTTGATGGCTTGGCAGAAAAATGGGCTTAAAACAAAAGAGTGTGAAGTACGGTTGATTTGTACTAATACAAGGGTGAAAATGTATACTCAGGCTAGGAAAATGATGAAGAGATTTTAGAGGATCAGAGACCCAATATCAACTTAGACAAATTGAAGAGTGCAGACAGGGAGAAGCAGGCTGATAAAACAGGGAAGTTATAGCAACTGATCTGAAAATGAGCGAACATTGAGGTCAGTGATAAAATAGTTGGTCTTGGAGACAAAAAGAGGAAGAAGCAACAGAAATGTGGGCTAGACACGGTAAAAGACTTAAACAGCAACAGTTCAACTACTGTGACGTGTAAGAGTGAGGTGCCCAGACCCTGGAGTCAAATTAAAACCTGGGAGCTGAACACCTGTGCTCCTAGTACAGTTACTGAGGAGAGTTAAGTGCTTTGAGAAGGCAATCCAAATGTTTTGGTGTTGATCAAGGAGTGTCCTCTAGTCAGTAAGAAATACAAGGATATCCTTGAGCTCCACTCCTGTTTTTACAAAATGCCTAATTCTGTGACAGCTGCTCATAGCAAGTGCCTAAGAGTGAAGCTTCAGTCAGACTCAGTCGTCTGGTTTCTCGTACCAAGAAGTCCCCGGGTACTTTAGTCCTTGAGACACACTTGTAGACGAGTGCATCCTTTCACCTCGAGTCTGGAATCCATTCCTGAGAGCAGGCAGCTGCAACTCTTCTGTAAAGGAACTGTGTGAGGCATTCACTGATGATTTCTGTGGTTCTTTTGTAGCCACCTTTTGTTTAGTAGGTTAATGGCTAGAAACTTGTTCAGCAAATGGGAGGCTTGGGATCTAGACATTCTTCAGCCTCGGATAGTACAAACCAATGTCTCTGTTTTGAGGACGGTGTCCTAAATGTCATTCTGGAGACTGAAAACAAATGGGATCATAACTTACCCATTCCTTAATGCTGGTTCACTTAAGCTGTGCAAGAAATGCAAAGTTCTTGGTGATAAGAAGCAAGAACATGCAAATGAAGTCAACTGCAGCTTATAGACATTTCACTTGACTGAGAGAGGCTCAGTACTGTCAAAACTTATCAGAGAGAGACATGCTGAAAAACTAGGCACTACACTATCTACTTATTGTGTATGTGTTTGGCTGTTAGACAAAATACGATAGCTAATGTCTTTAAAATTTTCAAGCTGAACAGTAAAGTTGCTCATTGAATATCATGTCCTTGGGAAAGTGTTGTGCATAAATTGAAAACTGTCTCTTTTCACATCTTCCCTGAGTTCATACATTCATTTCTACATATAGCCTTTAAAAAAAAAAAAAAAAAAAAAAAGATATGGAAAAAAGAAGGGAAATACAGGGAATTCAAGGTAATATCACTGAGGGAAGTTGTATTGTAGTTAAGGACTGATATGCACAGAAGTGAAGGATAATAGAGTGATCAAAACCAAATTTGAACATTGCATTTCAACTGCCTGGAAATTCAAGAAGAGTAATTAGAGACATTGTTAAGACAGGTAGCTCAACAGTTTAAATAATAAGTACAAAATTATACTATTGATGAAAATATTTTCTTATTGCTCTTCTATGTTAAAGAATTAATAAAATAAAAAGTATTGGTATTACCTCTTCTAAATTAGTATGTTGAAAGTTGTAATACGTGCAAAGTGACTAACAGTCATTTCTGAACCATCATTAGAGCTTCCCACATGTAAATTTAGAGACCTAATCCAGCTGCTCTGACTCCTGAGCAATCCTACTTGTTCAGAAGTAAACCTCGATGTAAGGAAAATAGGATTTGGCACTTAGTCTTTCTCTTTTTGTGCCTTTTTTATATATTCAGTTGGAAATACTTCATTAGTGATGAAATAAATAATATACTTGTTTAAGTTTCATGAAACTAAGATAAAACTGTAAATTCCAAAAATGAATACAATTAAGTGTTCCTACTGCATCTGCATTATTTATAAAATGAATGTATTTTATAAAAGAAGCATGGCCCAGTTTAAATCTGAAACCCCACAAATACTTCAGTGCACTGTTAATGACTCTAGTCAACATTACAGAAGTTCTCCGAGCAACCAGTCCTCCTCCAGTGACCCAGGACCCAGTGGGAGCAGCCAATGGAGACAGCAAGTGGGATATGACGGGTATTGGTGATTTTTTTAAAATTTTTTTTTAATCTTGCTATAGCTCCCATGCATCTTCTTTCTGAAGGAAAATTTATGTGGATGATCTATATCATCGGTTTGTTTGCAAAATCTCTTAGTATATTTAAAGACCTGCAGGTTTACTGATCATTAGTGTAACATGTATGCCAATACAATTTTAAAGCCATACTGCTTTAACTCTTTAGGACTAAATTGTTGTTTTACAATTCTGGTAAATATAAAACAGATATCACTGCAGAAATCAGCTAGTAACTCAGAACTGGAATAAAATAATAATTTCTCCTCCTTTTGCTTCAGTGGAAGAGTATTTGATTTAAAAAATATCTTTATGGTCTTCAAAAGTTTTATTTCCTACTGTGCTTGTTCCAGTGGTATCCATTCTCTAGCATCTGTGCTCAAAAAGAGTAGCACTCTTTCAGAGGTCTCTTCTCTCTAAAAGGCTGTATAGATGGTTCTTTCACATCCCTGTTAATCCCTTGGTGCTGAAGTTTCAGAAGTTAGCTATCTGTGTATAAAAGACCACCTCAATATATGTCTATGTTATAAGAATATTACGTGAAACATCTGTTCTCAATTACTTAAATTTATCACTTTGTTGTATAAATATAGCTGCCGAAAACACTCCTGTTATAAAATAAGCTATGGCAGTATCTACATAGCATAATATAAAAGCATTCCAGACATACCACTTGGCTTTCAGAAGCTACTTTTCAGAAAAAGTGTGAATATTGAAAACATCAGCTTGACTTCTTGTCTGTAAGTTTAATATTGCTTTGGCATGACTGTTTGCGGATAAGATATTCCGTGTAGCAGATATATATGCAATATCTTGGAGACTCTTCAAGGAATTTCAGAATACTCGCTGAAATCTGTGGCAGCTAAATAGATGCTAATAATTCAAAATAAACTATAGCAATTTTTTGCTATGAAAATACATATGAAAATGTATCTTGTGTCATTTTTCCAGCACAGTTATTTCTAACAGCAGCCTTGGTTTTACTGTGTTGCTTTGTGACATAATTTAACTTTTGCAATACAATACAAAGCAATGGCTCTGGTACTAGCTTTTGTGTTCAGAGTCTGAAAACCTGCAAAACCACAGAGTTGCTTTTGCGGGGCTTAGTTCATAAAGCAGTTAAGGATACATTACCATAGTTCTCCATTGCAAAAACCTGTGGATATATAGCCCCAAGAATGCATTTCTTCTTAAAGTTTAATGTCTTCTTGGCCTGTTTACACTTAAGATGTAACAGTGTGCTGTTGAAAAAATTGCATGTAAGTATTTCCGTGCAGTGTTTGGAAATGTTACTATAATTGCTTGGGGGGGGAGGGTGTGATGATTATTTAAACAAATCACAAATTATTTGCTTTGAAGAGTGTTGCTATTCATCATGTACCTAATTTTCTAGGAAAAAACCCCAAACAGCTTAATTTTCTGCTTATGTTAAAAGGTGCCAGTCCCCTTTGCTTCATGAACACCACCAAGGTTCAGGCTCACTGGAGTGTGAAGGAGGCAGAGAACGAGAGGAAACTTTGGAAGGAACTCGACATTCTGGTAATAAAACCCACTATATCTTAAAAATAAATGTTCTTTGCAATGCAGTGCATGTTGAGTGCAGCCACCTTCTGATGCGGAGGTTTGATACACGAAGAGCACGTAATATGACAGTGAAAGTGGGAACTGTTACAGGCAGTCCAGCAGAATATGATGGGGGATATTTAGATAATATTTGGAACAAACTACTCCTGAACTTCAGAAAGCCTCATGAATGATGAAAAGCAGGTTGAACTTCTTTTAATTATCATTGAAAAACTAGATCTTAGGATCTCCTGCAAAGACACACGTCTCTGATTCCAAAGAGTGTACAGGTTTCAAACCTGATCCTAAGTCATGTGCCTTTTTTCTTTGTACAGTATACTCATCCTTTTAGCATTCAGAAATTAAAACACAATTATTTGTGACAGAAACCAAGTGGCATGCACCATCGACCAAAGTCCTGAGCTCCTACAAAGACCGGGCTTTACAGAAAGAAGGCAGTGGCAAGGAGTCGCCAAACAAACTTTCACATGTAAGTCTTTTATTTGGATGTCATTTGAAACTCTAAAAAAACAAAACCAAAAACAAACTCCACCTTGGACTTAAAGAAATACATTTTAGTAACTTATGAAGACCACTGAGTGTTTTGGGAGACAAGTATGCTCACCTAGATGTGGGGCGAATTAAGTATGCTTAATCTCTGTTTATAAACTAAGAACTCCAAGAGGGATTGGGTCTGGGGCATTGAGTAGATAAAACTAGTACAGTCTGCACTCAGCTGTGTATTTACAGCTTTATATATACTGGCTTGCTTAATCTGTGAAGTATTTCATATCCTTTAAAAACAAAAAATTATATTCACCATGCCACTTGTCATGTTGTGTGAAATACTCATGTAGTATAATTGCCAATAAGCACTATAAAAATGTCATTTGTATGTTGGGAATGCTGAACAGATTTCTAGTCTACCTAGTTTAGTGGCTTGTCTCCAGTAATGGCAAAATCCTCAATGACTTAAAGATGGAACATACACTAATGATATGCATGGTCTTCCTTTTTTTGTGTGTTTGTTACACAAGCCTGTTATATGTAGTAGGAATCTGTACGCTATTTGAGGACTTACATGGTAAGAATATGAGGCCAGTTTCTCATCTTATGTATGTTGATACCTTATGAGAATCTAGCTTGATGCTTCTCAAAAAAAGTACTATCATAAACAGAATCACTTTCTTATACCTTAAACTGAAGTTGACAGGAAGCTAGAATCAGTATATATAACACTCAGTATTAAACACAACACCGATACCAAAGTCAAATGCTGAATTTGCTTAACTTCAGTCAGAGTTTATGCTAATGGGACCTCTCATGCTTTTAGAATAGTGGGGATCTGAACAGAAAATTTCTTAATGGGCACATGCTTGTGTTTGCTTGCATATGCATATGTGTAGTGCAGTTGCAAAATAACTATATTGTACAAAGTAAGAACCAGCATTATTACAAAGATAATATTAATAAAATTAGGATATTTTGTTGTTAGATGCTGTAAAATAGAAAAAAAGGGTCATCACCTTGTAAAGGACCTTGTAATGTTCTCTTGTGCATCCGCTTTTTGTTCAGCTCCATTTGCCATATGACTCTCTGCCAGCCAGAGAAATGTCTATGCTGTCTTTTTATCAGTTTTAACTTGGGGAAAGGATGGGGGGGATTTCACTGGCTATTTTCAAGCTCTCTTTGTTGCCCTGGAATAAATATCATATTCCTGCT